ACGTACATAAAAAGCCAAATAGTAAAAGTTCTCTATCTAAGGAAGCAGCAGATTGTGTTGAATCTTCACTTCATCCTAGTCTCCCATTCTGAGCAAGCACAAAGGAGACAGTGGAAAGGAAAAACTCCCTTTTAACAGGAAGAAACCTCCAGCAGAACCTGGCTCGGGACGCGCGGTTGGTTTGTGAGGACAGGAAGTAGAAACAGACACAGAATGACAGGTCCAGATGTAGTTTCTATAGGAGGAAAGACAAAAACCATGTTAAGGATAGAAATATTTACAAATAGAAACAGGTAGAGTAGAACAAGTAGGCAGCAGCAGAGAGAGGAAATGTGGTCAAATTGTCCTCCTAAGCCTATAGCAGCATAACTATAGGATAGCTCAGGAAGCCCAAGCCAACACTAACTGTAGCTTTTGTCAAGAAGGAAAGACTTAAGCCTAATCTTAAAAGTATGGAAGGAAACTGGAAGTTGGTTCCACATGAGAGGAGCCTGATAACTGAAAGATCTTCCTCCCATTCTGCTTTTGGAAACTCTAGGAACCACGAGTAAACCTGCAGTCTGAGAACTGCTCTGTAAGGAAAACACGGAACAATAAGATCTCAAATATAAGCTGGAACTAGGTTGTTGAGGGCTTTGTAGGTTAGAAGTAAGATTTTGAATTAAATTCTGGATTTGACAGGGAGCCAGTGGAGAGAAACTCAAACTAGAGAGATGTGATCTCTCCCACTAACTCCAGTTAAGACTCTGGCAGCAGCATTTTGGATCAACTGAAGACTTTTTAAAGAAGTATTTGGACACCCAGATAACAAACCATTGCAATAGTCCAGTTTAGACGTGATGAATGCATGGAGCAGTTTTTCTGCATCATTTTGAACAAGGTAAATCGTTGCGATATTACACATATTAGCAGTACCTTCACACAAATCCAGATGACAGACACTGACTTTTTACCTACAGCAGCCCGGCTGATGAGCCTAAAGTCTAATTTGCCCAGAAGCAGACGAACCATGAACCGTACAACATTATTCAACGTCTCTGAGAACCTGAGCTGAGATTCTGCACATTCACCCTCAGTTGTCTGTAAACAGGAAACCACGGTTAAACCATCCGGGCTGGACAGCGTTTGAACTGACACTGAACACGCTGCGTTCACATCAACAACATCAAGGGACGATACTGAGAGTTTCTGCTTGGCCAACAGGCGTATTACATTCTGAACCTGTTGTAAGTGATTAATAATCAATAAATGTGGGTCTTTGAGTTACAGAAGGTGTCTCCCTTCTTATCTTTATGCCTACTTCCTTTATCAGACCAATCTGAACAGCTGCGGCATGCCGTCAGGGTCAGCATCGTGCACACGGGCGAAATGCTTGCACTGACATTCCTGAGGTCTGAGACGTGTTTGTCCAGCATGTGCACAATCACCACTGTGCTTGTGCACGCTTGTAAGTTCCGTAATCTCCACTGGTCCCGAGCCGTCCTTTAAATATGAAACAAATCTTTCTTGTGTTTCTTTAAAACGGTCCTGAGGCGTGCTCAGAGGAGGAGAGCGTCTCCAGATGACCTCGCCTGGTATTGATCAGTAGGATTTATTTTTATACTGAGCGCGAACGTGCACACCGGCCGTCTGAGGTGCGTGGCGTCACTCTCTGCGATCCAGACAATATTTGCGTGTGTTGTGGGTTGGGGTTGTTGCTGCTGGTGGTTGGCGGACGTGCCCGCATGGCTCGGTGTAATATCTGGAAAAGTTTCAGCGCGGTTTCATTGTAAACTGAAGAGTCTTTGCGTTCGGTCAAACAGAAGTAGAAAACAACACGATATCTGCTGTTGACTCAGCTTACTTAATGAACAAGTGGAAATTATGACCCAAAGATGGAGCAATAATCCATGAAAAGATAATAAATATCTTACATGCTGATGTTGTGCGAGGGACATGGGTTTTGTTTCCACCTACCGTAAGTTAGTGTGAATGAGTAGCATTTAAACATCTGTCAATCTCTGTTTGGTTTATTTAAACACAAAAAACAAACAATCCGAATGAAACTACTGCAGCTGTGCAGAAAATATAGGCGTTAATTATTTGGTAAATGGTGTGTAGCTGCAGTAAAGAATGAGATCTTTTGTCCTTTATGAGGAAAGCATGAGGTCATTTCAGAGAAACATCTGCATGAGCTGAAGGAAGGATTGAGTTGGTTTCTGTTCACAGCTGTATGTTCTGATTGTGTGAATGTTTTATGAAGCATTCACTCTGTTGTGATCCAGTTCTCTTCCATACATGTTTCATCTTTCTTGTTCCACAGTTTTTGTTCTATTTCAACAAATCATAAATCAAAATGCAGAACAATCCTGCTGTGACTTTGGGTATTGGTGTAACTTTAGCTTTTTGAAATGTTTAGCCTTTTTTGACATTTTTTTTCTCATAGAAAATGAATTGAACTCATTTTACATCCTTCAAATCTTTAGATCTGTTTACAACCTTTTACTGCTCCTTTCACATTTGGTTCTGTTCAGCTTCTTTCAGCTTCCTTGTCCTACTTTAAACTATTTTTCTGCTACTTTCAGCTGTTTTTTCAGCTGTTTTGTGCTTATTTAAGATTATTTCTGATAACTACAAGATTTATGTGCTTTAAAAAAAAACTTTTTTCAGCTAATTTCAGCTTTTTCCGCTCCTTTCAATTTATTTCTGCATCAGCTTTTTCTGCTATTTCAGCTACTATTTTGCTGCTTTATGCTAATTTAAGCCTTTTCAGCTAATTCCACATTTTTTGCACTCAATGCAACTTTTTTCAGCCTAAAAATGTGATCTTTCCACTTCCTTCTGGTAATTTAAGCTTCTTTCTGCTTTTTTCAGATTATTTCCACTTTTTATGCTAATTTTTGCTAATTTCACCCTAAGCGGGCAAACACTTGTTCTTTCTGCTTTCTTCTGCTAATTTAAGCTTGTTCTACCTTTTCAGCTACTTTTTTTAAATAGCATTTTTAGCTAGTTTCAGCTGTTTTCATATAAATTCAAAATGTTCATGGTAATTTTTGCTACTTTCATCCTAATTAACTTATTTCTGCTAATTTCAACTTGATATGCTAGTTTCAGCAAAGTTCTGTTCATTTCATTTTTTTTCAGCAATTTCAGCTACTATTTTACGTATTTTACTATTTATTTTACTATTTTACGTATTTTACGTAGTTGTTTTTGTGCTAAATTTGTTTCCATTTAATTCCACTTTTTTAAGCTAATTTCAGCTCCTTCCACTTCCTTCAAGTAGCTTAAGCATCTTTATGCCTTTTCAGCTATTTTTCAGCTTTTCTTTGCTTATTTCAGGTTTTTTTTTTGCTAATTTTCTAGTTTGTGTGCTCATTTCTGCTTATTTTAAACCCAGTTCAGCAAATATGTGTTCTTTCTGCTTTCTTTGGAAAACTTAGGCCTGTTTTTCCGTTTCACCTACATTTAAGCATGTTTTTAGCTAATTTAAGCTGTTTTTCAGCGATTTCTTCAGCAACAAGCCTAGTTTCACCTTAAATATTAGGCATTAGTTACCAAACCTAATCAGAGCTCAACCCCACAATACATTAATGCTATTATTCATGGAGGACTTTTTGGCTGTTTAAATGATCAATCAGCTCTAAAGTAAAGATAAGTGCATTAAATCCTTTAAGTTTGAATAATTTGTTGTATTTTAAACTTTCTTTGACACCAGATCTGATCCGTCCTCAGAAAAAACGTTCACACGATTCTTCTCAGCTCTTCCTGTGAATTCTCTCCATTTTCTTTCAATTAGAGTCACTTTTACGTTTGATATTTATAAATGTCACTCTTCCGTATATTTTAGACGTGAGCATTGTAATTTGCACTCGTTTCACATCTGAGCCTGTTTGATGCAGAACGTGCCTGGAAATGTGTCCGTGTGGAAGAAGGGCGGTGCGGTGACGACCTGTGGAGCCTCACAGAACAGGAGTCAGGCGTTTGTTTGTCGTGTGTCTGTGGCTGTAGCTGTTCTGTAATCAGCAGCTGTGACAGACCGCAGTGAGCAGCAGCATCCGTGGGAACTCCGAGACCCACGACGCTCCGATGCTTTCTGGGAATCCTCCAGAGGGAGAACTAACTGACAGACTGTGGGAATGTTTGAGGAATCCTGTTGTCCTCACCTTCTCCGTTTGTGTTTGTTCGCTGTGAGCTTGAACCGCCTCAGCTGTGGGTTCCTCTGTCTCCACCGTGGTGTTTAATTTTCTCGTGTGCACTCAAGTTAAAAAAAAATGAATAAACGATGTAAAAATTTCAACGTTCACTACCAAAATAAACACCGAAATAAAAAACATCACAGAAAAAAAGCCAGTTTCAAGCACAAATATCCTGTTTGAATGCATTTCTAACTATCATTCGTGCACACAATAAATATTTACATGGTTTTTATCAGCCGCAGCTTCATCTGGACTCTCTGAATTCAACACGTGTGAACATGTAATCCACATGGGTCGGTGTGTCGCCTGTCCTGTCCAGTACAATCACAAACAAAGCTGGCGGCTCGCTCCAAATTCCTGCCCCTCTGAGTGTTGAATGGAGGGAGGGGGTGGAAGGCAGGAGGGGGGAGGAAACTCCACGGGCCGAACAACGAGCCCTTTATAATGATTGACTGTTTTCATGGTGACTCATGATGCTGTGGAGTCCCGCCTGCAGCTCGGGGGTGCAGTTCTTGTGTTTTTCTGTTTTCAGGACGTTAAAATGTCTCGACACGTCCTCACTGCACCGCCAGCCTCTGCTTCGGCCACACGAGCTGCACGTTTCAGCCGTTCATCCACTTAGTGTCATGCTTTTGCTTATATATTGACTAAAAGATTCAATATTTTGTCGACGTCGCGTAAAGTGTAGGATTTATTTCAAATGTTTTAAAATGTACAATCCAAACAAATGTAGGGTCCTGACAGGCCGTTTGGACCCGTGCACCTGTGTCCCATCCTGGGAGTCCTCACACCTGTTCATCTCGTCGTGTTGTTCATTTACAGAGGCCCAGAGTTTCCTGGACGGTATGATCCACGGGGGCTCTGCAGACGGAGAGCTGTTCCGGTCAGACGTGCCGGTCGCCCCCGCTTCCTGCCAGAGGACCTTCGGCTCCGTGCGCTCAGCATCGTCAGGCAGCCCCCTCCCACACACGAACAGGTACAAAGTGCACCAACAGCTCCAGGTGTGGGAGACTTTCCTCTCAAGCTGCAGTTGGATGAAAATGCACGACGGGGCAAAATAAATACAAATCAAAAGTTTCGACCCTTATGAAAGTTGGTGAAGTATAAAAACAACTAAATCCAGTTCTGGTGACTAAAGTTCTGCTGGGTTTGGATCAACAGGCAGCCAAGAAGAGCACAAAAACTGTGTTCGCTTTGTACACGCGTTGTCTAACCAAAAGGTTAAATTATAAACTTGGTCCTTGGTTGAGATTTTTCAACTAAAGTCTCGAAGATTTCCTCAAAAAGTCTTGAGTGACTGATCCCTCAGGTTTGGGGACAAGTCTTTACCCCGAGCGGTGGAGCAGTTCAGGTGTCCTGATGCTAGGATGGAGTGGGAGATGGATTAACAGACCAGGGCCTCGTCTGTAGTAATGAGGGTGTTGCTCCAGTCTAGTGTGGTGAAGAAGCTGCTGAACCAAAAAGCAAAGCTCGTCCATCAAATGTTCTAAACTAAAGACGCTCAATGTAACTGAAATCACAACAAAAGCAACAGACGGCTGCAGTGACTGGAACTAAGAGGAGCCGTACTCTTAGGAAAGTCAACTATTTTTACTTTTTCTTTTTTTTTTGCTAAAAAATTCTATATATTTTTTAAATCATACACTGGAAAGAGTAAAAATGTGTTGAATGCTTTTCATGTGAATGCAAAGAGAACGTTCACAGCTGCGCGTTTCGTTTTGGGTTTGCTGCTAAACCAATTGTGTTTTTTTTTTATTTTCACCTTCCTGCCCGTCAGAGAAATTCAAAGTGGCAAACAGACTCACAACAAAATGTTTTAAAAAAAGACAACGATAGCTTATTATTAAAATCTAAATAGGATTCTGGATGCAGGATCGATCCTTTGCTATGAATCTTTTTAAACTTTTTTATTTCGGCTGTAGATTTTCAGTCGGTTTAAGATTTGTTGCTAAACAGGTCGTAAAGGGTGAATATCTGCAGCGACTCAACGTTTTGTAGTCATAAATATAAATTTATATCCAGATTATCCTGAAAAGATGCTCATTTAGGTGTTCCATCCATCCATCCATCCATCCATCCATCCATCCATCCATCCATCC